GATCGCCAGTAGACGTGGTCAAAGCTCGGGGAAGTTGCCCAAACGGTGGCCAAGACCGGATTGAGGGCAAGGAAGGTTTTGCTGTGTGTTTGGTGGGATTGGCAAGAAATCATCTACTACGATTGTTCCCTTATGTCCAAATGCTCAATTCGTCCCTTTACTGCCAACAAATGCACCGCTTGAAGGCAGCGCTCATCGAGAAGAGGCCATCTTTGATCAACAGAGGTCGAATAGTGTTCCATCAGGCAACGCCAGGCCACACACGTCTTTGGTGGCGCGCCAGAAGCTCCATGTGCTCGGATGGGAGGTCCTAATACACCCACCTTATGGTCCGGACCAGGCGCTAAGCGATTACCATATTTTCCTGGTCATGGCGCACGCGCTTAATGGTGAGAAGTTGGCCTCAAAAGAGGCCTGTGAAAATTGTATCTCCGAGCTTTTTGCCAATAGGGACGCAGCCTTCTGCAAAAGGGGTATAATGAAGTTGGCATCTCATTGGCAACAAGTTGACGAACAAAACGGCGCATATTTAACTTAAATCGGACAAATCTAAACAATTTTATCATATTTTGAAAAATCAATAAAAAAAAACCGAACAAACTTTTTACTCGACCTTATATTATTTACAGAAAACCAGTGGCTTAAGCATGGATAGACTTAAAATAAAAAGTATAATAACGAAGAAAAGATAAACTAAAAACTGAACAATAATTTCGAAATAAAAAAGAATTTTATCTTTATGGAGGTTTTGTACTCAATTAAGCAAAAACAAACAAAACTTGCTTTGTTAAGCATTAATAAATTGAAACAAATTAAAATGCTTTTAAAGCGTATTGAATGCTAATAAATGTGTGTATGAGTCAAGCAGCTTATGACTTGCGGGGTCTCGGATGAGGGATCCACCTCAGGTGTTAACGATCGCGTTTTGAGGGCATGCCCCTTGAATATCCGGTTCTCTGAATTGGGAAGACTGATATCATCGCTGTCCATGAACTACGACAAACGAGGCAAGGACAGAAAAAGGAAAATTTTTTGTTGGGTTCTTTATGGGAGATAGACTCCATCGTCGAGTACTGGCATCCATATCGTTGAATGAACATCTAGAGAAGTTTTCGAACATGTTGCCCATGACTCAATGGAATAGAAGGAGTATGATATGAGGGCCTAGAATACACCTGTGAGCGCTATGCCCATCTCGATGTCAGCATTGTGCTTGACGACTTTAACGACAAGTTGGACAAAGAAAGTGTTTTTGGCATAACATTTGGGAAACTCAACCTTCTTAACGAAAAATCCAAAAAGAACTGAGGCTGATCGACCTGGCCGGCGCCTGAAATATGGTTATCGGGCAATACAAATTTCCGTACAAGAAGATCCATCAAGCTAAATGGTTGTAACCGAATCGAAAATGAGTCTCACATAGACGATAATACATCCATTGGTGAAGTCTTTCGAGTTCTGACGGGACTTTCGGTTTGCCCTGTCACACTGGTATAGTTTTGTAGAGATACTAAACTAGATATAGTGGCACATAGACAGCTCCGTTTCGAGCAGCTTCAACATCGACGAAAAAATGATGTGCACTGATCCCTTTCCCTAGAGTCACTAATATATTTGTTTCGTCTAAAGTCACACTTATAAGATTCGATCAGTTTAATGACGAAGGGTTAGATCCTATTTGCGATATATTGGCTCATCCCGATATAGTTGCCGAGCGAATTTAGTTTATGCACTTTCTCAGTTCGTCGCCAGTTAATTTGATTGGAGAATCAGATCCGACATATCTTGGCCATTTGTTCTCATAAACTCAGCATATTCTGAACATCAGTCGCTAGATCATCTCGCTTTGTGCCTTACAAGAGTCTGCTCTGGTCATAAAACCTTCAATAAGTCGCCTCATTCTTTCGTAAAATGTTCGAGCACTACCCCTTTTGACCAGCTTCTCAAGCTCCTCATTTTCGATCATTCTGTATGCAAATACGTCTCGGTACTCTTTTCGGGTCTCCAGATTGCAAAATTGCGAGGTGGTCAGTCTTTTTCTTCTACACTGCACATTTCTTTATGGTGCCACCTTTTTTCTGGCTGTAGAGTCGAAGAAACTATCTTGGAGGCAGCATTCTTAAGGTTCCTCCAGGCACTCATAGAAGTCGTCTCTGGTCACATCGTTCATGCGAAAAAATTACTTACATATGTGGAGTTCAAACCACCAAATCGTCATCCTTTAAATAATTTTAGAGGTCTTCCTTGTCGTTTTTCTAACCCGAGACTTCTGCTTCATCATTACATTGCATTTCTCTGTACTTAAACTATCAATTTTCCAATCATAGTAAGGGGGAATGCGAGTGATTCGAGGCATAAAGTTGCATGTAGGTGTAGCGTTTAGGGCGTTGCCTACGTCTTTATGGTAAATATTGTTTCTATGATTGCTGGTTATTTGCAAAATTTCTTTATTATTTCTGTAATTACAATAGCCAAATGGGTTGTCATATTCTGATGGTAAAGCAAATAATGATTTTGAAAACTTCTACCAGGAATATCTATTCATGGCGGTCGCAAAACCAGAGTGATTAGCATTGCGAACTGTCATTCGAAAAGCCGTGGTTCGAGTACTGGTTTGAACTGCATTCAAAATTATAGAAAGCAAGTTTTTCTAATTGCAGTCGGCTCTCGGCAGGGAATGTCAACTCCTCCGAGTGCAACCCTGACATGAAATGAAAAGCTCGTCATATAAATCCAGCCGCCGAAACTCGTTTCATCGGTTGAAGACGACCCATAACCATATATATGCATAACTGTTTTTAAGGTTTTTGATAATCAAAATTTCAAGACCAAAATTTAAAGACCCATTTAAAAGGGCACAAGAGTGTTTCATTTGTATGTTTTTAATTTTTATGAGCGAAAGTGGCAAGTCCATGGCTGTCCTGTTCTGTACTGAACGGACTACTTCCTCTAGATTGACTCCTTCACTATGTAACCCTTCCTTTGTGGGTCTGTTCCCACCAGTTTTTTTGTAAATATATCTGTTCGGAAAATACTGCTGTGGGCTGCCAACCCGTATGACTTTCAAATCTCCCGTTGGACACAGTAAACTGTAGTTCCCATAAACCCCACATTCCTTTTACAGTCACCTTTAAAGATATTCCAAGCTTTATCTGCGGACTTGCGTCCTGTGCTTCACCCGTCTGCCTCTATTGTAGCTACCAGCAGCTTCTCGAAAGTCAGCTTATGGAAAATTTTAAATCTTGGTTGTTTTTAATTTCATCCAGCTAAAACAGGACAGCCTATATGAGAAACATAGCGGATTTTTCTACACTTGGGATACTATTCAGATAGATCCAGGTAAGAGCCAGATATTTAAAGCAAAAGTGGTGACTCTTCGAGCTTATGAACGAGTGTAAGAACTTCACATTGGTTGCTACGACTCATACTCGACCAGAAAAGCTCTGGAAGTTCTTAAAGGAATGTGACAAATCAGAGAGCTCTCAACAAGGAACTTCTTCATCGACTTTCGATCGTGCTCCACCCCAATTAATTAGTATACTGACTTCGAATATGCAACCATGCAACCAGAAGTGAACTTCATCGCACATCGTTTCAGTTGGATTTTACAAGCTCGAAACCTTAGATTATTCCGTAAAATTTCCCATAAAGTGGATTAACTCAATTGAATTTTCTTTGATTTAGTCGCAATGGGGTCTTCGGCACCCACTGCAAACGTAGTGCCAAACCGATCTATAGTTGCTAGAATTACTGACTCCGCTGAGCAAATACGGCGACGGAAAATAGGACGTAGCACGCAATGCGACGCGTGAGCCGAGTCCTTACTTTGATTGTAAATTCCCACGATTAGCAAACGTTGTTCCGGAGTGACTCTGTTCGTAGGAAAGGGCAATCAAAACTGGGTTAGAGTCAAGAAACAGCTGTCAAAAAGAATAACTCCGACAAAAGTATTGCCTCATTGAAAACCATACGTCTGAAAATACCATTATACGAGTTTATTTACGATGGGCACTTTTTAACCGCTTTTCGCCCGAGCTCCTTCTACGACCACCATCGTGTGTCTTGTTGGTTTTCAAACAAATGAACCGTTGTACAGAGCATACTAAACCACCTCCGTAGGTATGGCTGCTGGGTGTTATTGCGGAGCTTTTATTTCAGGCCAGAAATACGCTTAAAGGAGTTGACATTCATGCCAAGAAGGAGAAATTAATTTGTTTTTTTACTTAAATTAATTTTATATCATTTTCCATGTTAGTCGGATCATGACTGGAACCTCTAACCTTCCACAAGGTAGTACGTTATGCTAACACCAGTCCAGCGGCTTATGTCCCAAGACATATTAAACCAAAAATATTACTCAATCGTATAAAGTAATCAAAAAGTGGAAATAAATAATTCTCCTCATTTTATCTGCAACTCCTGCGGAAGAATAATAATATTAGCCTACAAACGCACACACACACATACAGCACTGAGTGCCCCGAAGTAGGCAGAAATGCCGGCAATCAATGCGCATACCGCATGGTGTAATAGTGGTCACCTCCCATACTCATTATGAATTCCGCACTGAAACTGCAGGTGTACATCGGACTAATTGACGTGTAACGCGGCGTCGTACGGCATGTGGCATGTGGCATGTAGCATAAGGCATGAGGCGAAATATTTATGCTAATTTATGGTCGTTGCTGGAGGAAATTACGCCAAACCAACAAATGCCAACGAAATGATTCCATTAGAATCTGTGCTACGAGCATTCCGTGTGATATAAAATGCAAGCGACTAACTAGCCAACCAACAGGTTCATCCTGTTTGCCAACAACGGAATACACAGATCGCTGATACAGAGACTTACCAAGTGGATATTAGCTCATCTGCCTGGCAGCCGTTTGGCTTGTATTATTTCGGACGATTAGCCAATCGCCAACATCACCACCCGGCCAACTGGTGGTCACCGCAAAGTGTTTTATTAACTGCTGATAAGAGCCGCTAGCGCAGTCACGATGCTCCACGAATGCTCGGACAAATCAACCATCAGCAACACCATTTTCAACCATCAGTCTTATCGACGACGCAGCCGTAAATATTCCTCAAGCAAATTAGAAACCATTTTGGCGCCAATTCGCACACTGAAGGAGATGTTACTCTCGGGTGATGCTGCTCACCCGTCGCACACTTGTTTGTACTATGTTCGTGCTTATATAAGGTGAAGGACAAGTGCGGAGGCATGTGGCGCTATGTTTAATTGTTGCTTGTTGTTGTCCTTGTTGTGTTTTTTTAGATTACTCGGCTTGTGGCCGTCGCAACGTGGTGTGGAGCAGCCCATGTACTATGCATACAATGTGCTAATTATGACCGTTTTTAGTTTCTTTGTGGCAACCATTATTGCTGATCTTTATGTGGCGAGCAGCGACTTCGTGCTTTTGGGCGAGGATTTGGTCGTGGCCTTGGGTGTAAGTATATACTGATATAATAACGGAAAGGGGAAGTGACCTGAGATGGGAAAGCACTTGACAGAGAGGAATGGCGTGCCTTGAAAGCCGAGGTAGAACTAAGAAGGGGAAGTGTAGGCTTCGCGCAGCCAAGTTCATGAAATAGGTTGCTTTGGAACACAGTTAAGTTAAAGTTACGCTCTGACAATTGTGGACTTCGTCCTTAGTAAAGCCACATGTAATCCTTTCCAGCATCTAGCATATACACCAACTATTCCGCAATAGGCTTCATGACACAAGTGTTCCTGGTAAAAATGAAAGGTTCAAGATACTTCAGCATCAGCTCGGTAAGAGCAACGAGGATTTTTAACTACAGGTTTTGCGATTAGAACAAGATCTCTCTACACACCTTAGGAAAAACCTTGTAATCTCACATATCATTGCTTTAGTCCTACAACCGCCGAGTTGACATAAGATCTATAAGTGCAGAAGCACAACAGGGGAGGATGAAATCGGTTTTGCCCTCATGCGTATTCGGTGACTTTGAAGTGAGCATTTGTGAACTAGTCTCTAATAACCGCACTTCGAAAAGGTTTTCGAGTATGAGTTTAGTGCTTGCCTTGTCATAAGGTCTTTGTGACTTCATTTGTCTTTGTCTTTGTATTAGCACAACGTCAATTAAGTTGATGCGAGGGCCATAAATTCTGAAGGTACCTTAAAGGGGGCATTCCTCTCTACTTTGCCCTGTCACATTGAATGGAGCCATTCCTTAACTGGTCTGGAGCTCGTATATTTTCTCTATAGAAAATGTCTTTCAGGAATAACGAATCTGAAAGAAATATTTCACTGATCTGAGAGCCTAAGAGTGGGGTATATTGAGCCTTTTGCCGAAAACTTGACAACTAACTCCTTCCTTTAGCTTCGATATTTCCGTACTGAATATCCGCTCTCCTCATTGGAAGACTGCGTTCCATCAGCCACTCTCTCTAACTCTGACTTCCGTTTAAAGGAATGACGGAGATGAATTACTTTTGGAGCAACAATTCAGAAACTCAGAGATCCAGGAATTATGTACTTTCCCAGATCGACTATCCGAGCAGTAAACCACCTAGTCTAAGCTTTATTGTAGTTTCCTCAGTACATGACAAAAGTGCGGAGTATATTTCTATAGAAGCAATGAAAGCCAATGCCGGGGTGTCTCGCAATACTCTGTGGATCTGGGCGGTAATCGCTCGCTATTCAAACGTTTAAGCAGCTTTAACTTGCTCCCGGTATCTCCGCCCGAATAAAGTTTATTTTTACCGAGTAGTGACCTTACCTAAATGTGGACGATCTCATTGAACAGAGGAGTTATTATCGAACGCAGAGAATGAATTTCCGTGGGATTGTATGAGGATCTTTTTCCTTCCACACGCTCACATTAAAATTCCTTGCTTTACCGCTTGTCAGCCTAAATTTCCCACATTCACTTCTATTTTTCAATAAGCTTTTGTGTAGCACTCTCTTCTCTCTCCTTCATAAAAACATATTTTATTTTTCAGCTTTACTTGATTCTCTTCAAAATGATACTCTTTCGTATGAGCACTGCTGACGTCGATGTAATCGTTGACGAGTTCGATGCTTTGCACATGAAATTCGCACGAGACACATCCGATAGCCCGCATATTAGACGGATACGACAATTGCAAAGAAGTTTCTTTTTGGGTGAAGCTTCTTTCTTCTGCGGTTTTTTCTTTCTCAGTCTCTTTCTTTTTGCTGCAATGAGCCTACAACCGTTACTCACACATCAAGCATTACCTTTTCGTTGTGTTTTTCCCTTTGGACTCCACGATCCGGATAAGCATCACATTACATTTGTCTGCGTCTACGCATTTCAATGCTTTTGCACGCTCTATATGTTGGTATCCATAGTGGTGATGGATTCTCTGGGTGGCAACTCTTTCAATCAGACAACATTGAATTTGCAAATTCTATGCGAGAGTATACGTCATATTGGTTACGCTGGTGGTCGCTCAACCACAATAACAGAAGCCGTTTTGTGGCGAGAACTGAGAGAGAATGTGGAGTTTCATGTGAAAATCATAGAGTGAGTTCCAGCAATTCAATATTTGTACTCTAGCTTTTGCATTTTATCGCGTGCGCGCTCACTTCCTCAGTCTCTCACATCTTCCAGGTTAGTGGATGGCATAAATCACACCTTCTATTGGAATTATGTCTCACAAATGGGCGCGAGCACTTTCATGATCTGCTTGACGGCTTTTGAAGCACTCTTGGCAAAAGACCAACCAATGGTGGCTATGAAATTTCAAACTTACATGTTCTCCGCTTTTATGCAGCTCTTCTACTGGTGTTTCATGGGCAATCGGACTTATTATGATGTGGGTGATGTGGTTCTAGTCGTTTTGAGTTCGGTAGCTTTCGATTATTTATTTTCCATTAAAAATATTTACAGTCCATGGAGGTGGCCACGGCAGCGTATGAGGTTTACGCTTGGTATGAGCATTCGCCGCGTCTGCAGCGGAATCTGTTGTTCATGATTAAACGCGCTCAGAAGCCTTTGGAGTTTCGTTCAAAGCCGTTTTTCGGCTTTACATTCGCCTCGTTCAACAGCGTAAGTCCGAGATTGTCTAGTTGGGATATTCAAGAACCTTACGTTTACATACTATATTCATTGCAGATTCTAAGCACATCCTACTCCTACTTTGCTTTGCTACGCACCATGAACGATTGAGAAAATATGTTGAGGCGCTTAAGGGTTAAAGTGGAAGGATCTAGTCTAATATTATTAATAAAAAAAATAAATCTGCTTGACAGTAAATCTAAGCGTTTGAGTATTGTGTCTTTCAACCCATCTAATGTGGGTCCTAAGAAGTTGTGGAAGCTAAGTATTTTCGAACCTTTTCAGCACTCATGGCCAGAACGTCGGCCTTCATTGACCTCTTCGTGTTTTCCTTATGATTTAATTTAAGATTTAGATGTTTACACCGTTTAGCTGTTGGCGTAGCCTATTTATACTGAGTGTAGGGGCAGGAGGACATGATAAAAATTAAAGAATCTGCCACCTAACTTTTGGAACTCCACCTTGCGTCCAAGTTGAAGGAACACTACTTCGTACTCTGACTAAAAGTAGGTAGGGTGTGATCGAGGACGTTACTTTAAGTGTGCGCCTCAAGTAAAACTTAAAGTCGGTTTCGACTTTGCTGTGAGTAGGTATGGTCTTATAATATCTGAGCGAAGGGGTTCTGTTTTTTTGATCAGAATGAGTGTGCCCTGAGAAAATTTGAGCGCTTCAGGCCTGCACTATGTTAAAAGAAGCGAAAGATGGGTTCAGACTCTAACTGAAAAAGGAAATACAAAATGGATTTACGTTTCAGCGCGAGTGTAACCTGGGGCCATCTCGAAGCAGGTTTAAGGATCTGCTTCGAGTGAGGTCTTAGAACATCTTCTGCGGCTCCAGCCTGGTGATGGTGTTAACTCAGAAATAGAGAGAAGAAAACCACAAATGTAACTGTAACTGAGTTTTGTAAAAAGTTTCAGCGGTCGGTGTGTTCTACTCATTCGCAAAATTTTAGTACCGTCACGGGGTTACATAAGAGATGATTGGAGTTTTGATTTCTATGCCCCAATAAGTCGCCAAATAACCTCAGATCAAGCCTTTCATGCTGGAACCGACGGTAATGCATTATTCATAGGAGTCCCGTATTTAGTCGGGAGAGTATCCAGTTCAGAAAGTTGTGGATTAGGGTTAAGGGCGAAGGAAGACCCGTCACAACTCGAAAATGGCAATATCGATGAGGGTGATCGTCCCCCGGTTTAACCCTGGCAAACTGCTGCCTTGGATTATAGCAAAAATGACTTTCATCTCCTTCCTATGGTTTTCAGAAACGGTAAGTTGGAAGTTGCGAAGTCGATCTTCCTTTCGGAAATAGTCAATGACAGCTAATGGCATGGACAGGCCTGAAGGAAATGATTCAAAGCAAAATTTGGCAGGAGTTATCCTCAAAGCATTTCTAGGCTCTGATACAACATCATTCTGCAGGAACGGGGCTGATTTAGGGGGAACACTAAAATTGTGACGTACGATTACCAGAGGTTGGCAACGCTTAACAAATTAAATAGCTGTGCGTAGACTTGGGGAAGTACACTCTGGAGTCCGATTCAGAGCGGTCGATATTACGGATTTAAAGAAGCCAACTCTGAAAATGAGACTGGAGCGCAAGCTTAGCGCATGTCATCGATAGACAAACCTATGTACAGCTACGCTTTGTCGAAATCTTTTTAAAAGGGATCCTCTGTCTTATCGCAATGACCCTTCCCAACCTGATTGATTGATTTTATTCTGCAGAATGGTGATATTAGAAGAGCTTAGGTAAACCTTTCCTCACAAGAAAATCGGCTGAGCAGCCAACATACCAACGACCTCTTAATGGAGGGTCGGTGAGCAATATTGATCTACTGTGTCTTCTCTACGCTTTTTTGAAATCACTCTTTGAAGGACTTCATATAGGAGTATTCTTATTCTTATTTCCTTCATCCTGTGCTATCACACAGTGATAGTTTAACATAACCTCAATAACAGTCGAGGAATGCCATTTCTTGCACCTCTTCCCCATCTAAATCAAGCGCTAAACACCAGCTCCGCTCTTATAAGCCTTATAAGGTGACCATAAATTCAGCTCAACTTTGCATATCTCACCGTCAGCATCAAATTACATTAAATTATTGAAATCGAATTCTAACAAAACGCCAATTTTCTGCAAACATAGGTTCGAGCTGCACTGATTTGTACCAATTTGACGTACAGACCAGGAGCGAGTTGCCGAAGCAAATGAAAAAACGCAAACGCACTCAACTGGGGAGGTCAAACATTACGCATTGATAAACATCATAGCGGCAGGTAACCGCTACTGCAGCGAACAGCATGTCCAATCGGCGCGCAAAGGCGATGTACGAGGAGCGGTGGGCTGGAAGGACACTACAACTTATGGCGAGCAGCCCACAGTGCTCTACAAAAGTACACATTTCTTGGCGAACAGAGCTGCAAGAGAAGCTTGAATCTATGTTCGTGTGCGGAGAGGAGGCTGGGGGTTGTTGGGCACCATAAAATATGTATACATTCCGGCTGCTGCCAACAACATTACCCGTTACTGCCATCCTGCGTTAGATGCTGACTTGATTGGCAAGACAATTGGACAGTTAGTCAGCTGGTGCAGCGAACATCGCTTTAACTGGATCACTTTGATCAATAATATGATACACAAATATCGAACAACAACAAGAATGACAACAAAAGAAAAAAAACAGCAATAGCGAAGGAAGCCAATTCCGATACTGTTAGGCAATAGTTTATTACATACCAGTTGCCAGCTTCGTTGCACATGGACGTCCCACTAGTTGCGCTTGGATTGTAAGAACTCGTTTAAGCCATGCCGCGGGGTTGCCACTTTCGTAATATGGATCTCGTAATATGGATCTTCTCCATCCAACCAACCAACCATGCACATCCATGCTGGTAACATACGTGAGGCGGAGCGAACGCGCACTTACGTGGCGCTGACTTTACAACTGCGTTCGACGAACATTGATGACGACGACGAGGGATCGCAAAGCTCTCTCCCCAACTCTGCTGTCTCGCACTCATTTGACATGCAATTTCAGAATTCAGTTATTCAAATGTGTGCTTGCAAGTAGAGTAGGAGTGCGGGCATAAAGTTGTATGTATTCGGTTACATACTTCCTCGATTGTACGACCCACAGTTTGGAGGGGTTTTTTACGGTCGTTACGGTGGGCGCGATATCAATTCAACAAAGCGATTAACCAACAAACATACCAGTGGTTCGATACACTTTGGCCGTGGACAACTAAAAACCGTTTTGTTAGCTTTTTGCATATTCCTTGTGCAGGGTCCCTTAATAGGGGTATATGCAAGTTCCGCGTGCATTGCTTAAGATGCTCATTCGAAAACCGTCTCTGGAGAGGTAGTGCTTTCACTTTTTCGTAGAAGACTTCTCCCCATCAGTTTAAGAGTTCAGGAATATCCTAAAACCGATGCGGAGTCCGGTTTTGTACCGCTTTTGTGTGCTTTAAAAGTAAAAAATTGTCTTAATTCCTCAATAATTGGCCTAGGGCTGTGTCTAATTAAATCTTTGCAAGTGTCTTTAAAACTATAATTGTTTCGGCAACCGTGATTCTGTGAAAAGAGTATGGAACAGAAGAACTCTTCAATTAGTCAAACCCGTATAACGACAGAGCCAACATTATATTTATGGCCCTCTTTCGCCTAGAGGGCCTGTAAGACAACACTAAAAGAAAAGTAAAGTACCTTAGGTGCTCAATCCCATTAAATTATCTTTTCTTCATAAGGAGCCTGCTGTACATAAATAGCACAGCGTATATTACGGGGAATTTGGAGGTCCCCTTGTCCAACCTTGAGAAGTCAGCATGGCCAGCTGATGACTTTGTAAGACCAAGCGAAGTGAGTCAGAAATACAGTTAAGCAATTTCAGTTACCAGCCAGAGACTCGTTGAAACCGTGGATCTAACTAGCTCCAGGGGCAGGAAAATTAATTTGCACTGAGAGAAATTCTCAACGGAACAGTCCGCTATCGGCAGATACTCGGCTATGTTGGGTTGCAACATTCTCTAATTTACACAACTCCAAGTCTCCCGAACCGTTCTTGAAGAAAACATGTGGAAAATGAAAGGTTTCATGCTCTTTTAGTCTTTTCGAATTCACGTCGGGGTCGGTCATTTATTTCACTAAAACTCTTCAATGGGTTTAATACCTACCCATGGTGGTCCGCTTCGTTCCATTCTTTCGGCATTTCAGTTTAACCGTTCTAAGCGTCGCAGTAACGGGATCCTCAGCAGACAACTCGCCACTTCTAGCTTTTGTTCACTGCATAACAGTCTAAAACTCCACAGCCTCAGCTTCTTACATTAGTAGAGATTTAATAACTCCTTACATTCACCCCAGAATCTCTACCATTTATAGTAGTCCAAACTCCAACATCAATGAAGTACATCAGCCCAAAACCCCTCACGAAACACCCTCATGATATAAATGTGTGCAATGATGCATGCGTATGGCCAAGAAAACCAATGCCATGCCAACTCACATTGCTATTGCCGAGCCGCCACTGACACATGTCCAGCTGAGCGTGCTGAATGGACAGCTTTGGCAGCAGCGGCAGCTGGATCCAGGTGAACTGGCCGCCCAGACGCCGGTGATTCTATTTGGCTTGTCGGCAATGTTAACGGCTACAAGCCAACCAAACCAACCAACCAATCGGCCAGTCAACTTAAAGCTTGTCGCAACATTCTGCCAACCAACAAAGCAACCAAATGTGGCAACGAGTGGAGATTCTCGGACTTGTTTCGATGAAAGATTTTGATGCGGCGACCACTTGTGCTCAGCACACACGGCACTAGCAACTGGTCGTTCGGTTGGCACTAGAGCAAAGTCCGATGGCAAACATTGTGTTAGGCATATTTAGAGCAACTGCTTGGTGTTGTTATTGTTTCTAGAAAATAAATCCATGAAATATGCATTTGTTTTCCCTCTGCCCCACCATGTTTAACGTCACCACTGCGTAGCGAATGTGTGTTGAGTAGCTGCTAATCAGGATTCAGTATCTGCCAACTGCTCCGCCAAAGCAGCCGCCGTCGCTTTCAACTGCCTCTCGTGTGGCAAACCCCTTCTGAGCTGCTGCTTCGAGATGATGTAGATTAAGAGT